TCGGATGATTTTGATATAAGCCAAGAGAAGACCTAAAGTAAGGAAACTTTGCTTCCTTTGATCTAGAGCAGTGGTTTTCAAACCAGTCATGCAAGCACCCCTAGCACCTCACATTTTGTACGTCTCCCTATATCTGACACACCCATTTCAGGTCTTGCAGTCTCTACTAATGAGCTGATGAGTTGAATCAGGTGTGATAGATGAGGGAGACCCAGAAAATGTGCAGTGCTGGGGGTGCTCGCAGGACCGGTTTGAAAACCACTGCCATAGACTGTATAAAAACATGCACGTAGTGTCCGTGACGTCACCCGTACACAAATCAAATACTATCTGTACTACATATAGCTGATTTAAAACAGTAGGCCAAAAATGCCCAAATGGCATCCTGTTTTCATAGATTTTTAAAGTATGGGTCCTTGTATATGCTAGCCCTATTGAAAAATCCAGCATATGCTGGTTAAATACAACATCTTTCATTTAAAATTATAGGCTAAGCAAAATATAAATTGAACGTCCTTCAAGGACAGCACATCCACACTTTGCTCCATCCTTATTCTGCTCTGTCACTCATCGACAACCTGCCTGTTCTGTCTGAGGGCCGTATATTTACCAAAGGTACAGCCTGCTCTGAGCATTTGTTATGCACATGCTGCGCACAGACCACGCAAATAAAACACGTGATGTTTAAAGCATGCGTGCAGCGCGTGCATAACAGTCCTAGTGCAAGCAGTACGGGTGGTCAATAAGAATAAAGCGCCGATATGCTGTTCTAAATGGACGTCGGGAACGGGATATTGTTAGACCGCCCACTCCCGTTCAAATTACACCAGAGTTACCGACCGCTACCGCGTTTTATTTGGGAATTTAATCACGCAGCGCAAAAAATCCGGTCGGGTCCCGCGGGAATGCAGACCTCTACTTTGATCCTGTAAACAAACGTTGGTTTTCACGAGACTCACCGGCACATGCGCAATTATGAACTCATACGTCATTCCCCCGGATCTGCTTCCATGTACAACAGTTGGCACAAGCACATTAAAGTGATTATTACGTTTTGAATATGGATATTTTTCTTACAAAAACACATCGATTCGCTAAAGGAGGCCTTTGTTCACCCCCCGGAGCCGTGTGAGACACTTTTTTTAATGGATGGGCGCTTTTTATTTCACTTCTTTTGGACTGAAGCTCTGCAACACCCGCTGACTGCAATGATAGAGCTTGGAATAGCCAGGACAATTTTTAACAAATTTTATAACTCTGACTGGATTCGTCTGAAAAATTTATGGACTAATTTTCATTTTTGGGTGAACTAACCCTTTAAAACGACACACTGAACTCCCTTCACTTCAGTTTCATTGACATTAACCCCTGGCTAATCACACAGGTGTCTTGCCTAGCTTGGACTGACCAGCCAATGAGAACTAAAGTCTAAAAACCTGTTATGTAGAGGTATAAAATGCTCCATAATTCATCTGTCATAATTTCAAATAAAAGTACAGTCCCGTTATTGTAACAGACCAAAAAATATTAAACTAATTTCTTGGCAACCACAATTTAAAAAATAAAACTAGTAGTATTTAACAGCAAATGTCATCTGACACACCAAACGCAAAAGAAACATTTCCAATTCCCCAGTAAAAACAAAACATCCTTCACTAGAAGCTATTTAAAGGTTTAGGCTTATGTTTCTCCTTTTGGTCTGGAATGGCTTGATTACTGAGCATCTGTAGTAGCATGATACAAAAATACTCCACCTCCTCAACTCCACCCAACAGAGATAACACAAAGCAGCTCCAAAACACTGCAGTGCCTCCCATTATGTTTGCTGTTACCTCATACGTATTAGTAGAAATGCAGCAGGTATATGAAATTGAGTCTCAACAAACCAATAAAATCATTCTCTAATAAACCATTTCAAGATTTTGCTAATAAGGATCGATGTATGCTCTGTTAAAGTATTCTATAATTCATCCAGTAGATGACACTTTAAAAGTAGCATTTGGTCCTATCTTATCATTAAGTATCATTGCCGGAACTTACTACAAAACATTGATAGCAATACAGTAGATGATTAACAGTGAGGGGGAAATTTGTCTATAGGATACAACCAGTTTCTAAAACGAACAAAGAGAAAGGTCATTTCTGTCTTTGGTTTTCAATTGTTCTTCATAGGTATTTTCTATTTTTTTTGTTTGTTTTTTTGCTTGGCCATGAAACAGATTCTATCTGCAAGTGTTATCTTCAGAGAATTTAAAGCACACAAGTTACTCTATATATTTAAATTCATTAAGATAACAAACTTTGCGCAATTCTCTGGCAAATGTTCAACTCCGAGTTAAAGCCATCAATCAAAAATACTCAGCCCTGCAAATATTGTACATCTTATAATATGGTATAACAGGACATAAGCAACAACATGGATAGATAAAAAAATATGTATGGGTAAAATTACTACATTGGTACGTTTACTGATTTGTGGTGTTTATCTGAGGAAAAAACTGCCAAAAGTTCTCATTTACTTTTTACAATCTCACCATTTACTTCTAACCCTACATCTCTGCAGTTTTATTTCTTTAACAGTTTGAAACAGTTTGTTATTACTACTGAAAATGGACATGATAAAATTAACGGGAACTTATCAGGCTTTGTCCACAGTATTTGGGTTACATGGAAAACAATGTTTGGGTTACATGGAAAAATTCTTGGTTCTTAACATTAGGAGGTTTAAGCATGACAGCACACCAGAAAAAAACAACAATGACATTCCCAATTTTCACTCAACCAGCACAGAAATATTGTTCATACAACCACTTAATCCCATTTACTTTACACTGTGGACAAATGGTGGACAGTCTGTCTGGCCAGGAAACTCAACGTTTTGATTTTCGGTCTGATGAAGGTGGTCATGCATGGGTGCACTAATTGTAAAAAATAAAACTACCTTCCCACTCCCAGACTATACATAAACATTAATGTGCTCATTTTCAAATAGGGCCTAGCTCAAGACAAGCAATCTGAAAATAATTTATCACAAACTGCTGCATCCTGGTATTCAATAATGCACACTTTTATAACAACTTTGCATAGATTTACAGGGCTATTGAAGTCTTCTGGCCATAACATTTAATAGATCTTGGGGGGAGGGGTACTTTTATTGTTTTCTCATAGACTTTTAACCTCTAAACTGCACATTGGAAATGTAAATAATTAATAATAATAAATACAATTTGAATTATGGACATTGCAAAAGGTTAAACAAATAAAAAGCAAACTAAAAGCCCATTAAAGTACCACACTCTGGCACTTTTCCAGCTTGTGACAGAATGTCAACACAGGACACTCTTTTTTACGTATTGGAGCTAAACCACACCATGTATGGTACAGAGGTTTTGCTTTGACAGTGTGGTTACTTAACGCATGATTTGACATGCCTCCACGGGCTCCTCTGCTTTATCATAAATGATCCCGACATGTTTGCGCACAGATTGGGCCCAGATGTGGCTGTGTGATCCTACATCTTTTCCTCTCTACGAAGGTAAAAATAATCTCAGCACACCCAACATGCGTTTAAACATGATGGATAGGCATGAGCAAAGTATGCTACAACAATTTGTTACATCACCGATGAACCTCATTTCCACTGGGGCCTGTGCACAACTGAATGTTGGAGGAGGGACTTTTATTTGTTTACATACACCCTCTTTCCTGAATTTGTTTTTTTTTAGGAAACTGAAAAGAAGGAATAAATGTTTTATTCAGACCCTAATGGCAGAACGAAGCAACTACAGATTATACTAGTGCACAGCCCTGTCAATGCAAGCAGCAGATTCATGCATTTACAAAAGAACAATATAAATTTTGTTAATAAAAGATTGATCAAATGGTCAGATTCTTCTATCACCACTATATTTAAAAAGAGGATTATAAAAGAATATAGTTTCTTGTAATACATACCAGATCCTGAAGTATTACATATGTGCTTGAAATAGCAAAACTTGCCAGAATATGACATAATTATTACTAATTATTAATGTAGTAATTACAAAATTAACAATAAAAAGAAAACTGAACATGTTGAAATAATATAACTAAATATCTGCATCATTCTAAAAAGCACTGGAAAGAATATTCAGGTTAAATAAAGTACTATGATTACTAAGTATAAACTCAAACTAAGAGAGATGTTCTAGTATGACATCGAAACCACCTTATTTAAGGTTAGGGTACTAACGTTTCTCATTTGTAAGTCACTTTGAATAAATTTAAATGTTATGACACGAAAATTTGCATAACAACTTCCTGTGACAATATATAAGGAAGGCATTGATTCTTGTGTTTGTACACAAAAATTTCACTTTCAAAAATGTTGAGTACTGTAGTGTAATACTGAATGTATGAGTTACTGTCGGTTACTGTAATTTCCTGAGATTAATCTAATGTTATTTTAAAAAGAGTTTACACCTTCATCACTGAAACAATGACATATGAGTGTCTGAGCCTAAAGTAGTAAGATTCTTCGAGTGCTAGCTGACTATACACTGTAACTCATGATAAAACTATTTAAAGGTGTGGTAAAACTGCTAACAATTAATAAAAATTTAAACTGAAAATAAACGGGGGGGGACAACTTTAACAATTGTAACCGCATGCGTGTCATGGAGAAATTATGCAGGTTCAACAGGTTCTCCATATGTTATCAAATGATAAGCCCAATAAACAGATAACATTAAAGGATGTAATTATTCTACAGCTTGTAGGGTGCAAAATGTATAAACAGCATCACTGCTAAAAATTTTACCCAACAACCTGTTATTAATACTGTTCTGACCTGAAACGAATAATAAGCGATAGTTTAACGAATCTATTAAACAGTTCAATTTCAAACAACTGATTATCTGTAACTCTTTAAACCTACCAATCTCTTCCTAGTGGTATGAAATAAAATACGGAACAATCACTCGACTGTACGCTACACCTCGTGTAGTATTTTTTGGTCTTACCATCGCTTGCTCCTTGGTGTTAACGTTATACAGAAGACAGCACTGTCAGTGAATCTGTTGCAAATGGTCTGAGAGGAGTACCGGCGTCTGGAAAGTTTTGAACACGACCTCATTAAAATGATGGACATTTCTTTGTTAAACCTCCAATATTCCAAGTACACGCTCTTCAGATGTTGCCCCGCCCCTCGACCAAAGACCTCCCTCCACACGCATGTGAATATAGTTTTAAGATACTTTCAAGGCTTTTCATAAGTGACTTAAGGATAATGTAATTACAAAGCAGTGCTCTAGCGTACTGATTCCTACCTGAAAACAAACCATAAATGCGCAGACATAAAAATAGGCTACCTCTTAAATAATTTGGACCATGAAACTGAATAAAAATAAATTAAATCACCAATTTCGGTTGTGATGAAGACGCCAGGCAGATCACCTTAACAGAAGATCTGACTGAGATCAAGATGTCATAAATAACCTAACTAAAAATGTACCGGTAGTATTGAGCACGTGCGTTGCTGCGGTTGATGGACGGATGTTTCCTGTAGACAATAGACCTGCGATTGTCATTGAGTAACGGATGAACACTGCAAATAAAGCTCTGGGAGTTTTATTATACTATTACTTCCCAAATCAGTTATTTTTGGCTTCTGAATCCTTTCAAATATGACAAATGTAAAAAAATAAATTAAAAAAAGAGTGCGAGGTGTGCTGCCAAAACCTTAAACATAATGCCTTGTCGCATAGCAACCCAGTTCGCTGCCAACACAATAACTTACGTGAGCGTGGAATGAATATCATGGGTGAAATGAGGACATATAGCAACAGACACGTATTCTTTACCTTTTTATTCTCTAAATGATGCTGGAAGACGGTATAAGGAGGATACACACGCTTTCCCATTCACGCGCCGTTGCGCAGTGTAGCGGTGGGTTTAACAAATGCTAGCAATACAAAAAACAAGATTATACTGAGTGATACAGCTGTAAAATATATGGTATTCCATTGGTCCCTCTAGTTTACCACTCTAAAGAGGGAATGGCCTAAATACACAATTACACATATTACATTGTTTCTCCCAAGAGGCAGAAGATCATGGTTCTAACTCTGGTAGTTAAGCCTTAACCTAAATTATCTTGATACACAACATCAATGTGTGCCTATAACCTTGCACAAACATAGAAAATAGTTTAATCTTTGTAGTCATTGGTTCTCCACTAATGTAAACAGCTCAGTCATAAAATCTCTTTATGAAAATGGAGCATGGTTATTAGCTTCAAAGGAAACCTTTGAAAGCTGTGAGACCAAATCCCACAAAAAGTCTGCTTTTTCAAATAAATCTGCATATTCTGTCTGCATCATTATTTAGATAATGAAGTCATTAGATAGTTCAGTAGTAGGCTAACCTTAACGTTTTAATAGTTGAATGACTGTTTGGGAAAATTGGGAGCAATACAGTTACTTTTAAAAACATTTAAATGAATTCTTGCTATAGCCCAAAGTTAGATGAATATGTTTTTAAAGTTTTATCTTGCTCACCAGTACCTCTGAACACTTGCAGCATCTTTGTTAGTGTAACAGCCTAATGTGTGCTCAACTATGCGTGGCATTGCATCAGCTGGTGTAATATCAGAGACAAAGCGTAGGAAAGACTGCCATCTCGTGGTAGAAATTGATACCTTCGGATAAACTTTACCAAATGACTAATTAAACATTCCGTGTCAAATCAACCAAATCTCAGAAACTTCCCCGGCTCAAATTTTTGGTTTTGATAACATTTTAACGAACATAAATAGTGGTGAAAACCAAAATAATAAATGGCATGGATGTATATTTAGTGAGTAATCCACGTTTTGGTAGAGGGGGGTCAAAAAGACAATTTCCAACTTGGAGTTAGATTACTGGGGAGTAAAATGACTTCAGAAAGATTTAAACAATACATTGTTAAATTGTACACGATTTCAGTGGTCAAAAATCAAAGGATATTAAGATATTTTTAATACGTCTTGAGTTACAGGCATGCAAACTTTTTTCCATTTTTGAACTGTCACCATTGGCATTTAATGCAACAAAGATTGCTAAAGTCAACATATTTTACTAATAGACCTACCAGTCACTGTATTCAAATAACATAATGATTCTGCCTTCTTTCTAAAGTCATTTTTACCCACCTGTAATTTGGCTCCAAATCAAAATCATCATCATTTTAACCCCCCTCTACAAAATGAATTAAGCACTAAATATATAGCCTACATCTATTAACTAGTTAGGCTTTCTTTTTAATTTATGATTTTCTTTCACCATTAACCAACTTTTTTTTTTTTTTAGCAGAGGGGTCTTTGGTTGAGTTGACACAGAATAATCCAATGATTGTATTACAAACTCTGCAGTACGACATTGCATTGTGCTCTAATTGCTGAAATGTCTTTTGACATTGTATTTCAATATGTATTTGAATATGGAAAGTAATTGTTTTATATTCGACATTATGTAGCTGAACAAAGCAAGGTGTTTTGATGTAGTGTGACTTCCTGTCAGCAGAGGGAGACCGCACTAAAACTTTTGTTGTAAATTTGTTTTCTCTTTATTGAATCTCTTACAATTTTACAATAGCCAGGTAGTATATAAAGGCAGATTTAAGAAAGGAGGCAACAAAGCTACAAAATGACAATTAAATAAATTAAATCAACAAATACATATTTCATAATAAAAAAACTTTACACTAATACATTTAACAGATCTCTTGTTTAATTATGAAGTTTCTAGGTATTGCTGAACTTCTGGCTTTTCATTTTTACCCACCTGTAATTTGGCTCCAAATCAAAATCATCATCATTTTAACCCCCCTCTACAAAATGAATTAAGCACTAAATATATAGCCTACATCTATGAACTAGTTAGGCTTTCTTTTTAATTTATGATTTTCTTTCACCATTAACCAACTTTTTTTTTTTTTAGCAGAGGGGTCTTTGGTTGAGTTGACACAGAATAATCCAATGATTGTATTACAAACTCTGCAGTACGACATTGCATTGTGCTCTAATTGCTGAAATGTCTTTTGACATTGTATTTCAATATGTATTTGAATATGGAAAGTAATTGTTTTATATTCGACATTATGTAGCTGAACAAAGCAAGGTGTTTTGATGTAGTGTGACTTCCTGTCAGCAGAGGGAGACCGCACTAAAACTTTTGTTGTAAATTTGTTTTCTCTTTATTGAATCTCTTACAATTTTACAATAGCCAGGTAGTATATAAAGGCAGATTTAAGAAAGGAGGCAACAAAGCTACAAAATGACAATTAAATAAATTAAATCAACAAATACATATTTCATAATAAAAAAACTTTACACTAATACATTTAACAGATCTCTTGTTTAATTATGAAGTTTCTAGGTATTGCTGAACTTCTGGCTTTTGTTGTAGACCATTTGTTTTATCATAAGCTGACACACGTGCCTCTTGTAATTATTTGTAATAAAATTCAGATCAGTCAAAATAACCTGACAATCTTCCATTGGTTTGACAAATATGAGATTCTGAGACTAAACTGCCTACCTATTTTTAGACAGTAGAGGGCGATATACTGTAGCTTTTCAAGAATAGTAGCAGTAACACGATGCATAATATTTGTGTTCTGAACTGCTTACGTTATTTTTTACAACATTTGCGATTATTATGATTGTTGACAATGATGGTGATGTTACATAAGTTAATTGCTTGATTTTAGTTTTGGTAACAGTAAGAATAAGTAGTGGCTTAGTTACATTGTAGACAGTAATGGCCAAATCTAAATATATGTAGAAGAGTGTAGACCTTTTGATTTTATATGTTTTAACATTTCTATTATAAATTTACATGACGCTTTACTTATTTTGCCCAGTGTTTAATGGAGTAAAAATGATTTGTGCTATATGTTCTTTGCATAGATATAGTTTTAATACAATTCACGGTGGTAACTCACCATATTTAAATTAAGAAACATAAAGAAATGAGAGAAAAGGCTGAGTATACAAAAAAAGACAATGTTTTTAATTCTTCTGAAAATCCATGAAAAAATACTCCCTGACTTAATACAAATGTATAAATGGAGAATAAAAAAAATATATTTACAAAAGTTTGGGTCCTGCCCCGTTTTTATACATCTGGGAAAGCACTACATACTTTACCTTCTAAATGAACAAGAATTTCCTTCTATTAAATACTGTCATAATTTAAATCAAATGACATTATACTGCTATTCACATATAACTGCTGTCCCAAAATAGGAATTGTCTTAACAATATAAAATCCTTTCGTCGTTTAAAATACATATAGTCTCTCTTGTTTTTTTGTTTTTTTTTTACATGTGCCTTTTCATATGCAGAGCCAGATGATCTGAGCGGGAGAAAGCTCTCTCGCACAGGTGGCACTGAAACGGCCTGTGTCCGGTGTGTTTCCTGTAGTGGCGCGTCAACTCATCTGACCTGGCGAACTTCCAGCCACAGCCTTCCCAGTTGCAGTGGTAGGGCTTCTCACCTGTCAACAGAACGGGAGGAAACGTTTATTATTGTGTACAAACTTTGGTTAAACGGTTTATAGTGAGAAATTAAGTTAAAACAACATGTAGCCTATAAAACTCCGCAACATACCTGTGTGTGTCCGCATGTGCGCTTTCAAATGGGAGCTTTTCGTGTACGTTTTCCCACATCCGGGGAACTCGCAGCTGTGCGTCGCTGTCCGCTTTCGTGCCCATGACCGACGCCCTCGTTTTGGCTTGCTGTCTTCTGGGTTTAAAAATCCCAGGAGGGGTGAGGATGGTGGAGTCAGCATCACACCTGGCATGGCCGGGTGATTTGCCCGCAATGGTTCGCTAAACATGTTATAATGTCCGTGATACTGCTGATGCTGGGCGTACTGAGGTAGAAAAGGCGCGCCATTCATGAACTGCTGTTGATGTGCAATGTCAATATGATGGTGAGAGTTCATCTCTGTTAGGATGCAGTCTTTCCTCGCTAAAATGTCCCGAGGCACATCTTGTTGCACGTGATGCCCATAAGCCTGGTGCTGCTGCTGTCCATAATAATGGCCCACGTAGTCGTTTACCATCATGCAGGATTGCTCGTGGTTTTCACTTTTT